ACTTGCCATTTAAAAGCATGAGGTAATATAGTAAAAAGTTTTGGATCAATTATTCAAAAGACAAAATTGATTTCTAATCTTGATTAATTTTTTTGGTATCTGTTTTTGCAAATATGGGCCTTTCTTTGATGAAGATTTCATTTTTGGTATAATTACTAAAATGAGAATTCATATAGTGTTGTCATCTGTAAGCTGTTTAGTAAACTAAGGAGACATGAACTAAGTCCTAGTTTATTTTCTTAATATTAAATATCACCCATTTTTATTATTCAGGTTCCTTCTAGAGAACTAAATCCCTTGGGTTGCAATTAGGAGATGGATGCACTTAAACCATGTAACCTCTCTATTTTTCAGATTCTCCATCCAGTTTATAAAATAAAAGGCTAGACTAGATGATCTCTAAGACCTGTTCTTATTTCTATTGTTATTTATTATCCTATGAATTCAATTTGGTTTCTGTCCAAACTGGTGAGGATATCCGAAATTCCTCCCTGAAGAACAGTAGTGCTTTTGCCTCAGTTTATCCGCTGTAGAACTGAGTGGGCTTCAGTATGACAAAGGCTATTTACAAACACTCTGTGTGACCCTTCTTTTGCAGCCATTTGTCTCATTTGATTAGAGTGGTGATTCTCAAATGTGGTCCCTGGACCAGCACCATCAGCATCGCTTGGGACTTACTAGAAATGCAGATTCTCCGGCCCTGCTCTAGACCTACCCAATCAGAATTATGGAGGGAAACCCAGCTTTCCAAGTTCGAACAAGCCCTCTTTGTGCTGCTGATGCATGTTAAAGTTTGAAGACACTGCTCATGAGGTTAATGTTGCAAGTTCAAACTCTAAAGTGGCCACTGATTTAATTCTGTCTCCTGACCCTAACCCAATATTTGACCTCCATCATTCATGAGAGAGATTGGGATACACTGGCTTGGTCAATTCTACTGAAGCTCATAGATCTTGATTGGGATTGAAAGTGTTTTTTAATAAGCCTTCAAGGGCATCTATTACACTGATCCCAACTCCGTACAAATAAAATCTTTTCTTTCATGACTCTTAAGTGATACCCTAGCTTTGGTTAGATCTGTTTTCTTACTACACACTTCCCCCATCCTTGTACCTTCCCATCTCCATATCTTGGCTTATAGCTATTTTCTCTACTGCCTGGAGTAAATTTTAGCTTTTCTCCCTAACAATTCAAATCCATCAAAACTTGCAGATAATTACTATCTCTAAGAAGTCTTTCCTTAATCTCATCCCAAGGGCACTCCTTCCATTTAAAAAAATTCTGTCTCTTGAATACCTTTAAACTGTGTCACCTGGAACAGCATTTCTCAAATGGAGTTATACTACCTAACTCCTGTGAGAGGTTTTTAAAAATACAGATCCTTGCACACCATACCCACTGATTTACCAAATCACAGTTTCTTGAGTGCAGGATCTGTCCCTTTAACCAGGTTCTTAGGAGAGCCACATGCAGTGAGATGAGGTATTTAGAAGTTGCTGAGCTAGAATTGAGAGAGGCAACCTTATTCCATAAAGGACCACATGGGAAATATTTGGGGCTGGTGGGTCGTATGAACCAAGCTTCAATTTCAACTCAGCTATTAAAGGCAGCCATAGATAATATCTAAACAAATGGGTATACCTGTATTCCACTGAAGCTCTATTTACAAAAATAGGGGCCATGGGCTGTGTGGTTTTCTGACCTCTGAGCTAGATTATTATTTAATTTGATAAAAATGAACTACAATGTCTAAAAGGTTACGCTATACACAGTAGGTACTTTGGACTGAATTGATAAATAAAGGAACCCAAAATAATGTAGTTGGTAGAACATTTAAAATTTGAAGTAGACAATAATCACAAAGTAATGCTACTAGATGATCTTGGCTGCAATCGTGCTGACACATGGAAACTCTTGGTGGTCGGGGGAGAGGGATAATGGGAAGCATGGAGTATGCATCTGAATTCTAATTAAGTCGGTTCATTTCTTGGTTTTTCATCTGCAAATTATATTGTACATAATCGACTTCCAGACAAAGGGTTGGTTGAGGAGTAATTTGTTTAATGTTTTAAGAATGCTACATAACTGCTAAGTGTTATTGCAGAAAGAGGTTTCTAGGGAAGAACCAAGAATAAGCAGCACTAACCCTGCGCTTTTTGATCTCCAAGTAAAACCTTAAGTTAAATGTCTCTTGGAAAGTGGCAATTTGCCCCCAACTCAAATGTCACTCCGTTCCCCATTTTACTCAGGAAAACCTCAAATACATTGTGTGGGTGATATTGAAAGACGTCAGGATCAGAATGTGCTTAAAGTTGCTAAGAGGAAACAGATGTTCTCCTTAGCTGGGCAAAAGATTCTCAGAGTTTCCAGGGAAATATAAACTTCTTGAAGGCCACATGGGATCATGCCTTAAAATGTCCTGCTTTTGTTTATGCCTCACATATGCAAAACCGTGGTGAAATGTGTTGTTCTGGGAGAGACAGAGGAAAATTAATGAGCTGGAAACAATAAGGAACTCTGTACATGGCAAAAAAAATTGTAATGGATGTTATTCTTAACAAAAAAAAAAAAAGCTAAGACAAGATTAGAATTGTCATTTTCTTCAATTCTGATTTTTATATGTATCTTTAAACATCTATCTCTGAATTACCTTGGTGGTTGGCTGGATTAACAATTAGTTTTCTTTAAGACTCTCTGCTCTCATGCTTTTCCAAGTAAGTTAAGAGTTTTTTCTTATTCCTATAGATTATACCTTTTTTACTACAGCTGGAAAACAAGAAATAGTTGCAATGAAAAAAATAGTTGGTGGCTTTTCCACTTGAATAAAATCAAGTGTGAAACTAATGCTTTGAAGAGTGATCTGAATGCAGACAATTATAATTTTCAGCCAGGAAAAAATACATACAGAGACTTGTATTTCTCCCTGATCACAGTGACATCAAATAGTTGATCCTGCAGAGAAATGCTAAACAAATGTAATATTTTGTGTATATTTTTTTCTGAAATAGAAAGTTGATAAGAAGTTGAGTCCAAGGAGATTAGGCATCCTGCAAGGTTCAAGACCAGCCTAAAGCTGCAAAGGGAAGTGGGGAAACAACTGGAATATTCGTGGTTTCTGAATTACTGTAGAATGTTTTATATGATAAGGCCTCATCTAGAGTAAACTTATCTTTTCTGTTTACTCTTTCTGGATAAATCAGTGATGGATTAATTGGCTAAACTCAAAATACAACTATAACAATTGTGGCTATTTAAGCACATGATCAATGAATTTGTTTTTTTATACATTTTGTTGAAGTTTATTAGTTTTGGAATAGATCTTGGTGCCATCATTGAAAACTTAGGCAGATATGAAGAGGTCTAGAGAAAGAGAGGACAGAACTTCTTTGAAAAGCAATAGAGTATTTATTCATCTGAGGGGTTGTAAGGAAGGCTGGCTGGGCTTCGTATTGCAAGGTGGAGAAAAGAAAGTTTATTTAGAAGATGCAGAATATCTATTATATCTAAGTAAAACAAAGACATCTTAGACTATAAGCAGCTCATCCTAAAATCCATGCCATATTCTCATGTTTCAGACCTGGCATAGGGAGAAAGTGCATAGTAAAGATGTTTGCATGGACAAACACCTGCCTACCATTAGGCATGGAGCAAAATTAAAGGTTCATCTTTGAAATGGTAGTGGTGGTTACTGACTTATCTTTACATCTCACCCCAAGAAATTGAATGAATTCTTCTACTTTGTCAAGAAAAGTGTCATAGAGTCAAGGAACATTAGATCCCGAAGGCAACCTCACTACTTCATTTTTGTGGATGAAGAAATTAAGATTCAAAGAAGAAAATTTCTTCCCCTAAAACCTTTTTTTGTTGCTTTTAACAAACATTTATATAGAGCTTTTCCGTTTACAAAATGATTCTCCTTTCATTGTTTTCATTTGATCCCTACAACCCCACATTGTAAAAACTGTTATGATAATAAATCAATTTTATAGATGAAAATATTGGGGTGTAGAGAGATGAAGTTAAATATCATCCTTACCTTCTTCCTCTTTTTATCCCTTCTATCCACTCAATCGCTTAGTCCAGTGGAAAAGAACTCTTAAATATCGCTCGAATCTTTTCATGCTTGGATACTCCCACCTCCCCTGTTACAGGCCAAGCTGCTTTGAATTTTTCCCTTGATCACAGCAACAGCTCATTACTGACCCACCAGCTTTGACCCTGACCCCAACCAATCCTATCTCCAAATATTCTAAAACAAAGATATGACCACATTATTGCTCAGTGTAAAACCTTCAATAAATTTTAGAGTGCATGTCATCCATGCATAGTATAAAAGCCTCCTTTATATCTTCTGCCTATGGATTTAGCCTCAGCACACATACATCCTGTTCTCATTCTCCTCTTTTACCACATTCATATGCTCTTTCCTATTTTATAGTTCTCAATGGGACAGCTGATAATGGGAGAGAAACTCATAGAAAAAAAGCACTTTCAATTTTAAGATACATTCATCAATTCACTTGAATTTCTATTAGCTAGCATTGTGCCAAATATTTGGTAGACACTAAACAAAGGTTTGCTGAATGAATGGATGATTCAAAGGTGGATATTCCCCTCGTTTCATTTAAAGCCAAAGTTGTAGTATCTCTATTTTACTGAAGAGAAGGAGCATGATTTATTTTCTCCACAATTCTTTACATATGATGTGGTCAAAATGGAAGTTTCATTTAGGGATTTTTTTCCTCCAAACCTCTTCTAATATTCTTCAATCAGTTTAAACTTTGTAGATATTGGTTGGCTATCTCTTATAGATCATATATACATCCCTCAAATAATGTGACTTTTTAGGGTATTTAATAAATATACGATTGATTATTCAAATTCAGTACAAGTTATGACACTTGCATGAGTAAGTAGTAGAAAGCTTCTTTTTCTGAGTTTAACGGGTGTTACTTTTCAAGTGTGAAACATTTTAATGTATGTCTGTTATTATATTGCAGATGAAGATTCAATTTCATCCATTATTTGAGGTGTGAAGAGGACAACTTTTTCATTAGCCTTCCATCTGGTCATGCTAGCATGGACATTTACCTTCAGCAATGATGACTGAGTTCCATTTTCTGGTGAGAGTGTTAATGGCATATTAATATTTTTTCCTTTAATCTTTTCAGGAGAGAGGTTTATCAATTTCTTAATTGACCTCTAATGTGCTTGAAAATTAGGAGTGATAAACACATGCAAATTAATGCCTATTTATATTGAACAGAAATATCTTTTGGGTTGACTGATACACTGCCCACATCATTTGTTCCATTTTTTTTTGCGTTAACCTTTTCTTCTCCAAAGCATGAAAAACTTACATCTGCAAATGATAACAGTAGTTTCCATCCCCCTCCCCCCTTGGTGATCTTATACTTTTAATTTTACTTTATTTACCATTTGGTTAGCATTGATATGACTTTCACAAGCATTTTTATTTTCACTTCCAAAATGCTGGCTTGGTTTGAATAGCCCTCTTTTGATGGTAGTTTTAAAATTAACTGAGGTTAGAGTGGTAGGGAAGAAGGAAAAGGAAGATAGCATAGAGGATTAACTTGGAAGGCATGACCCAACCAGCCGAGTTAAATGCGGAGCACTGTTGCAATCCTGCACATCAACCTGAGATCTCTTGATTCCTTAGGAGGATTTTCTTTGACTGAAATGGTAATGTCATGGATAGATGGTAACAACTCAGTGTGTAGAGCTTACAACTAGTAAAGATGGTATGTTTTATGATGTAGCCTGTATTTTTATAGAAGAGTCCAAGTATCAAGAAATTTGGCTCAGTTGTCTTCACGAGGAATAGCACGAATGGAACAAAGTGAGTTAACTCTAACAGAGCAAAGAAATATTTTGTTATAGTCACTTGGCCATTGTCTATCTACCTAACTATGCATCTCTGAATTCTAATTTACTGCCTTACTTAAAACTAAGCCATAAGCATATTGTATTCGACAACATGCCATTAGCCCCATATTTTTATTAGGATTCTGATATATATATATCTATATCTATATCTATATCTATCTATATAGATTTTTATTAGGATTCTGATATATATATATATATACTCAAGATGACTGCTGCTGCCTCGGTCTCTCACTGTTGTGTCTTTCAAGTAAATACTGATACTCAAATACTGGGTCTTGTTCTTCTTATCTACCCTCCAGAGCTTGTTGGTGCAGTTGGCTCAGTTATCCCAGTCCCTGCTCTTTCTAAGTAATTAAATGTCTCTGCCAGCTCATCCTAGCCTCCCTCCCATATTCCTGAATGTCTATCATGACTACTGCCCAAGTTAGCCTAAATTCCAAAGATTCTAAAATGCTATTAATGTGCTTGATTTATTCATTGATTTGTAGGTGACAAATACATGTCAAATGGATTTGTCTCCAGAGGACAGAAAATAGTATGTTCTAGAAGCAAGGAAACCTTTGGGAGCCTTAGGCAGGAATGAAGCTTTCAGGAGCCCATGAGCTTTCTAATCTTATTTTTAATGCACAAGCTTTTCTTACCTGTCACAGGCTTGCTGCCATCCAAAACCTTGTTGTTATTATATGTCAGAGCTTTAAGAACTCAAGGTTACCAGCAGGAGTAGAGTCATCGTCCCGACAGATAAATTAAGCCTGGGTCTGCTGGATGTGAGAAAGAGGTACGGCATAAAGTGTCATAGGCTGTCTGAAAAGCCCTCATTTGCTGTCTGAGAAGCAGTGACTTGTGCCTGTGTGCCTGTGTATAATGGGCCCTAGTAATGACACTAGGGCAGAAGGGTGATCAGGCAACTGGCTTACGGAGTGGTGTAGCGTTCTTCAGAGTGGAACAATTTCTGAGGTGGGTTCAGGAGGTTCTTTGATTTAGATTCCTGTGAAAGAAGCAAGCACATCGCTGCAGGATATAAGTGATCTGAAAGTTTCAGAAGAAACTAAAGACCAAGAGAATATGCCTTTGATTATTGGAAGGCGCATTTTTCATTTTGCTCTTAACTTTGCCATCAAATTTTGTACCATGCCCACAGATAAAATTAAAATACTTAAGTATTTTTTCTAGTTCAGATTTTTTGAAAGCAAATTCTAAGAATTACCTGCATCTGTCCTGGTCTATGTACTCTGAAATTTGAGAATAGATTTTGAAGACCACTTAGTTTTCCACCAGAGCAAGCTTCTGAAAACCTCATATATATAGCACATAGAATGGGCTCTGTTCAGGACAAAAAAACAAAAAAAACAAAAAACAATGACAAAGTTTAAAAACGTTTTAGATGTAGGAAAATGCTTTTATCTTACGAGTATACTTTTGGCTTTCAGGAGTTAGAAGAAGGATAATTCCTAAGTCTATTAGGGAAGAGCATGAACAAGATAAGTAGGCAAGGTGGGTGGCTGAAAAAGATCCATTGGGAGCTTCCTGGTGAATCGAGGAGGCTCCAAAGAGTTTTAGGAATGGGAGAGACAACCAAATGGTATTTATCCTTTGAGTTTCTATTATTAGAGATTCCAAGTGGTGAACCTTAAAACAACTTGCTTGGGGTTAAATTGATAACTAATTGCCTCAGGATTGTTTGAGGGTTGTACAGAGCTACTTGCCCCAGAATTATTGTCTATGAATTTCCTTATTGAGGCTTGCAAAGAGAATTAAACCATGTAGCTGGGATCTAGGACCTTGAAACAGGGTTATAGATCCATTGGATGTCAGAAATGAGTCTCATGTGGCTGAGGAGTGATTACCTAGATTTGCATAGTGCATTATGGTAGTCACTAGCTACCATATTTGTAATTTAGACTTATTAAAATAATATTAAAGTAGTAAGTCATTTAGTCACACTAGCACATTTCAAGTGCTCGATAGTCATGTGTGGCTATCACATTGGATAGTGCAGATATAGAACATTTCCATCATTGCAGAAAATTCCATTGGATAGCACTAATCTAGAAGAACTATCTTTGATGGGGATGAAATGCAGAAAGGTTTTTATCTACTGAAAGACAGTACAGGGTGGGGACTGCAGACTGGGGCAACAAAGGTAGTTTCAGTGTCGAAAGAATGATGTCTAATTCTGGGTGTATCAGGTTTGACTACTTTCAGCCTGTAAAACTGAAATGTCATTCCAGTTCATATCTGGGCCAGTTCCCAAGGTGAATTCCTGATGCTGTCCTGATTCTACTGAGCATCTGCTTCCTTGTTTGGAGGACTGGTGTAGGGGGTTCAGTTGACATAGTAGCCCTTCAGGGAATGTACCTGTCAGTATAAAAGGTGGCTTGTCCTGTTAAGTTGCTAATCAGGAACTGGACTTTTATATTTCAGTTAGAAGAGCTAAGTCCCTCTGGAGGTCCTTGTAAATGCTCATCTATTCAGAGAATGCAGACTTGGGAAGGACAGAAAAGAAGCTAGGTGCTTACTTCACTCAAGCAACACAACCAGAGAATCCAGGTTCTGAGACTGAGTTGTGCTAAGAAACCAGACCCACCAGCCCAAGGGAAGTAAGAATCCAGGGCAGGTAGAACAGCCAGAATTCTCCCTTGTGTGGAAAAAAGGGTGGAAGAAATAAAAGATCATGAACCAGATATTTATACAAGGAATAGCTCTCTTTGTTTTTGCTCAGAGTCTCCTTTCTCTCCAGGACTCTGATATGAGTACTTGTAGGAGAGGCTGGGCTGGGGAAGAGGCATAGTACCAGAGAGTCAAAGCCAGCCTTTCCTCAGATCACTAAGGCTTTTTCTTCTCCGGCCAAGCTCGTCTGAAAGTCTCATTCTGTATGAGTTCTTTCCCGGGAGGCTCTTTATTTCCTGAAGCAAACAGTCTTCTGGCAGCCCCACCCTACCAAGCAGCCAGGCACAGCTGAATATCAGTAGCAAACAACACAGCTGGGACTCCTGCTAGGATAAGATTCATTGGCAGCCTATCATATGCCAGGAACTTTCAGGGATGTTATTTAGTTGATTTCTCATAGTGAACCTATGGGAGAGAAATTGTGATCTCTGTTCTACAAAGAACCAAACTGCGGTTCTGAGATGTTAAATAACTTGCTTGAGGTCCTTGAACTATACTGATGACTAGAGGGTTGACCCGGGTGTATTTGAATCAAAGCCCACTTGTATCTCTGCTTCTAAATTACATTGTCAACTGGGTCTAAAATGTGTCCTTAGATTCAAGGCCTAACCCTTTCCATTGTAGGATTTTGTGTTACAGAAAGGAAGGATGGTGGGTGGCAAAATATATGATAATTAATTTTATATGTAAGTTTGACTGGGTCATGGATGCCCAGCTATTTGGTCAACCACTATTCTGGGTGTCTCTGCCAGGGTGTTTTTGGATGAGATTAACATTATAATCATTGGAATAGAGCAAATTGTTCTACATAATGTGGTGGGCCTTATCTAATCAGTTGAAGGCATGACTAGCATAAAAGGACTGGCCTCCCTGAATAAGGGAAAATTCTCCAGCAGACTGCCTTCAGATTTCATCTGTAACATCACCTCAACTGAGTCACTAGCCTGTGAACCAATTATTTATAATAAATCTCTTTGTATATAAATATATATATCCTGTAGGTTCTGTTTCTCTGGAGAACCCTCACTAATACACTAAGGAGGGAGGGAGAGTGAACCTCCTCCACATTGAACAAGATCCAGAAGGCTGGGTCTCGACAGGCGCACCTATCTCACTTTTACTTATTATAAATACTCCTCGAATACACAATACTCTTCTTATCTTTGTGGATTATCCGTAAGGTACACTATAGTAATCTGCTGTTGGCCATTCTGTATGCTCCAATGCCCAGGTGAATCTCTTGGAAAACCTGGGAGAAAACCTAGAGTTTATGTTTCCATAATATCCAGACACTTGACATAAGCTGGTGAAAACTGCAGTAGAGGAAAAAGTTTGTACCAAAAATTCAGTAGAAATTGGTAGGATTATATGAGCTTTGTTATATGGCTCATAAGCTCTGAAAACCCAAATTCTGAGCATTCTTCAATAATGGAGCCAATGAACTTGACAGCTCAAAGCATTCTGAGCAATTATTTAATGTCATTTTTTTTTATTCCGAAATATTAAAGTTTCAAGTTAGTATAGCAATTTAAGTCATTGGACT